TTCGCGTACAATTACTCCAACAATTCCTCAATTATTCAATAAGGCAATTTATAATAGCTGCGAGAATATCGCGTTAATAATAGACATGGACTAATTACTGATTGGATATGCCGTCAGTGTCACCGTTAAACTAACTTTGGCTCTTCACGAGCGCAGGAGAATTAGGAATTTCCGCATAATTTTGACCGGTACGTTGATTTATTATTGTGCCGCGCTAACTCCTCTCGCTGACAAACAAATTTCCGATTTTTCACAGAACTGGGATTTCTTCCGTTCGTTGATCGCGCGCGAATTATTCCATTTGAAACTGTCGGAGCATTGTACTTTCGACGAGATTAAAATAATCAAATATGGATTAAAATCTCAAACGATGAAAACGATTCATCTGCACAATGCACGACCAATATGACGCACTTGTCTCTCTCATGTTAAATCAATATTAAAACAGCAGAAAATAACGCGACGCGTTATTAACAAATGGCAAATATTTTCTGTTGTTTTAATATCGATAAGTATATACATATAGGTATTTATCTCGCGGGGACTCTATTCTGTACTCGGCTACCGATAACCATCGATATTGTTAACGACGTTTGCGCAGCTTTTCTATCGTGTAAAGAAGCTGCGCGAACGTTCGTTAACGATATCGATAGTTGTTGGTGGCCTTCTTCTTCTTCTTATTTATAATATATGGAAAATGTGTCTTCTTTAGAAGAACATTACGGCCAAAAACAAATTCCAATAAAAGAAAATGCAGAATGGATTTAGGAGAACGGAAATCAGTCGAGGTAAGCAAGTTCCTCTCTTCTGGATCGGTCTCAAACCTCTAAGTCACAATCACGCTTCCCCGACCGACCTACTCGAGCAACTTTTCCAGACTCCCAAAAACGTTGTTAGTAGATAGCTCAAAATAAAGCTCCTGCGACATATATATCATTCATTGTGGGCCTGGATAACTTAAGCCAACGGCACACGATACAATTTTTCCTACTGGATTGCTTACGAGAGCCAATCAGGATGCAGAGTTTTCGATCAGGTGACTCAAAGCTGAATCCTGATTGGCTCTCGTAAGCGATCCAGTAGGAAAAATAGTATCGTGTGCCGTTGGCTTTAGTAGGCAGAGTCTCCGGGCAAGCGGAAGATCCCAGGTACATATCCTGGTCTAGTTCTAGTCAGTTTTTCTTGCCGAAAAGTTGCTCAGCAGCCCATCTTACAATTAGTATCGATCTCTCTAAATACACCCCTATTTATTATTATGTGCAAAAAAACTCCACCGATTAGACAAAACTCTGAAAGCGACGCGAGTCAAAGAGCATCGAAACGCGACGTCGTGGTTATATCAGCTGCAGCCATATTTATTGCAATTACTAAATGAAAATTGGTGCGCCGGTATTAAGCGTGCGCTAAATGCACTCGCATCCGCCCAGTGCTCTACGTCGTCGTCGGATGCTCGTGGCAGCTGCGTGTAATAATAATTACGAAGCGATACATGATAACGAGTTGCCACCGGTACGCTAACGACGCACCCGCACCCCTTTCCCTTTCTCGTTTTGTTCCTTTTCCCCGGTCGTCTCTCCTCTTACCATCGCCCTCTTCCATCCTCTTTAGCGCTCGCGATCTAATAATATGTACTTTCCAGCAAAGTTCTTCATTACTCATTCATTCCCGTGCGCGCGCGTTGACAATGCACCTCCGCGTTTTATCTATTTTCTTTTCCTTCCCTCTTTTCAAGCTTTCGCATCCCGTCAACTTCGTTTCTGCATTTCCGACGCATGTAAAAGTGCTTACGCAGACGGGGCGACTTGGCGTACATGTAAACGCTTTCCACTTAGTCGTCGATTCTCCTAACATCCGCGGAATTATATTTTCAGCTAGAGAGACCTCGGGCGTACGTGAATCATTAAAATGCGAACGCGAGAACGGCGAGTTCCGCCTGGACGGCAGTTGCCGCGGACGCCGCGTCGCGCCGGCGGTGCACGGTTCGAGAGCAAATTATCTTGCTTAATTAATGTCGCGCGGGCGAATAATTGGAGAGGGTATTGAGGGGGGAGGGAACGTAACCTGAACCGTCACGAATCGATTTCTGCCTTCCTCCGCGACCCGTACCCCCGCGGAAATCCCCTATCGTTTTCCTCCCTCTCGAACCCGACTCCTTCCATCGCTCATCCGTTTCACTTTGCTCGACCCGTGTAATTTCTACACACGAGGCGTTTGATCTGCGCTCTCGCGGAGACGGGGCGATTAAAAAGTGCCATGGCGATGATGCTGCTTCGGTCCTCTTCCACTCCTCTCTGTCTCTGTCTGACAGAGATAGAGCAGAGACAATCATCAACTTAACATCAACATCGAGAGAGACATGATCAACATCGACGTCTCTGTCTCTCTCTCCCCCTCTCTCCCCCTCTCTCGGGGTCTCCCGGGCGACGATGACGAGGTCCACCATCGCCGCGTCCCTTTGTTGACTAAGCAACGGTGAACGGCGGATTATATCGGTTTATCGGACCGGTGCAGTCGCATTATGGAGCAAGTGTATACTTTGTGATTTTCGCCTCGCCCCGGACACTCTCGAGAGAAATGCTTAACTCGTGCGTTTTCGCGGAGCGTAAGCACTGGCATAAGTACCAAAGCTACATTAATACCGAGACGTTCGATAGTAGAGTTGGACTAAATCAAAGTTTGGCAGCTAAACTGCACTGGATACGAGCGCAATTGCATTGAATTAACGAGTCCAATTACAGCGCAACAAGGCTCAACTATTTGCTTAAAAAAGATTTCGGTTTAATAAATGCATTAATTGATAAACAGATTTCAAGAATAAATTAAATATTTATATCAATTAAATATTAGTTAAAGAACTCTAATAAAATTTACTTCAAAACAGAGTCTTATCTTCGATGTTATCGATCCTTGAAATAAGATTATATGTATACGTGTATGTTTATTAATTCTTTTATTCTATAATTTATTTCAAAGATCATTTAAAAGAAAAATTCTTACAAACTTGAGTTCAAGTCCAAATTCAATTTTACTAATACTTTCATAAAACAAATTTACTTTAGATTATTTTTTAAGAGTAATTACAATTTACCATTTTAAATCACCATAAATTATATTTCTATTCTAGCGTGCTCTGTTAATCGAACGGAATTATTCATTATCTCAGGTGATGAGTCTACGAAACGAAATGCTAAGTATTGACAGATTATTCTGTCTAAAATTGATTAGAGAGGCAATGAAGGAATTTTGGTCAATATTCATATCAAAATGTTTCAAATATTTCGTGCGGGGCGAAAGTCTCTATTGTACAATGTGTTTGTTTCCGTAACGTACAACGCACACAGATCACCGCGTTATCATTCACACGCGGCGTGACTTGAGCGAGCAGGTGATGAGCGACATGGGCCGCTCCGAGCGCGTGTCGTTTTTTTTTATCTCTCGCGTTCTCTCAACGCGATCGTGACAAGTGTTAAAAAGCACGCCAAAGGCCATCATATCTCGTCATTATTAGCACGCGATTGCGAACGTTAGAATCGAGAGTTCCGATTTGTTTCGTAGATTCTTTAACGTAGATTGAAGCAGCGATTACGTCTCGAAGCAAATATTTTTCGCGCGATTTACCACTAGAGCAAGAACGTGCGAGGAACGAGGGATATCGTGGATTCATAAATATATCGGAGCGGCGATTACTTCTCGAGGCAAGTATTTAAAGCGTGAATGTGTGTGAAATGTCAGGAAAGATAATAAATTATGTTTCGCGATATTCGTAGACGCTCATTATCTTCTTAGCGACGCTTGGATTTGAGGATATATTTGGTGGAAATATAATTTGCCTATCGTGTTGAGATCGATAACGCGCAATAATGTACTCGCCACACTCGAGTCATTTAAATAACGAGAAGCCATATTTCTTGGTAATTAATTTGAAATAGAAGAAATGGAATATTTAGTGTTTATTACATTTATTTCACGACACCTTAAATATTTCATGGTGTAAATAAATCACATGCATACTTGCTTCGCTAAGCAGTCGTCGCATTGAAAATCGTGACATATTGTTTATTAATAAGATGTATGTTAATAATAGGTATGTTCCGGTTTGTGCATTTGAAATGTATTAAGATTTGAGATTTCGTTCGTGTGATAATTAACGAAATTCCTGAGTGTCAAGCAAACCATAAAGGCTTTATAATTTTTCTTATTATTTTTCCGTCTAACGTACACCAGCAAAATGCACGTTGCGTGCAATTAACTTCGGAGTATCGTTTTATCTTTTATCAAAACGTGATTATTAAATGAAATAGAAACGAGAACGCCAAATCATTACTTCGGTCCGGGCAAGCTGAAGGTAGCCTTAATAACTTTTTAATTTAATATGTGAATTCTTATATACATATACCGTATTTTCCAACCGTTATTTTCTGACATATAATACAGGTTTTCGTTAGGTGATTATTAAATCATCTCCAGATATAAAACTTTCTGAATATCCTAGTACCTTTTCGACTCGTATAACAATTATAAATATCTAAATTCGCGAACATTCATTGTCGTTCACTCTGAAGAGAGAACATTTAAATACGTACGTATGTATGTATGTGCGTATTTCATAATATACCAGTTCGCACATTATTTTTCGCGACTTCGGGCTTTAATTAATTCATATATTTTCCCGTTGCAACACTTAATTGAAATTAGTACCGTCAAAATGCATACACACGCCATTTCAGACAATAACTACGTTCCACGCAAATAAATAACACACTACGTAAATACAAGTTATTTTTACAAATTAGTGATAACTGTATCAAAGGTATGAAAATTAATAGCAGGCGTGCACCATATAACAAACAAACGTATACGACATAATACGACGCTGCGATTCGTAGGAAGCGAAATTTTTGGAAAAACACAGATTTACAAAATTACAATCAATAAGATGAATAAGTTCGAAAGCAAACGACATAATTAAAATGCGCTGATATTCGAGCGACAAGACTTACATTGAACGTCGATCTTGGCGGGCGAGCTCTCGATCGAGTAGCCGGTATCCTCGCGTGTGGCCACACAAACGAAGTTCCCGCTGTCCAAGATTCGATTGACCCTGGTGATATAAAGATCTCCCTCGACCTGATGCCTCCGCGGACTCGGCGCAAGCAGCTGGCCGTCTATCTTCCACGAGTACTTGACATGCGAGCTTGGCTGAGCCTCGCATCTCAGGCGAACCGGAAGTCCTTCGACAACCGAGTGAGTCTCGGGGCTTACGGAAAAGTAAAGATCGCTGTCTTGGCCGTGAGCAGGTGCCGCTGTGAAAAAGAAAAATCGTCTTGTTAACAATAAAATATCGATCAATCGGTAAACGTTGCGAATATTCGCAAATCGGCCGAAAATTATTGTCTAACTTTGTCCTTATACCAAAATTATTTCTTTGCGCAATTGTTAAGGGGTTCATGATACGATCTTCTTTTCGAAGGATAAGTTTGAGAAATGCTATAGATAAGTACCATCGCTCGCGGACGATATCGCCGGTAAAAGTGCGTCCGATTTCGTCAAACGATCATAGGAGGTGTAAAGGCTGAATCAGACTAGCGATTGCCGACTCGGATTGGATTGGGATTGGCGATTGACGATTGTCAATGAGAGTCGATTAAATCGCTGGCTGCTTTGCTCTCATTGGCTAGAGGACAATCGCCAATCGCCAATCCCAATTCAATCCTCGTCGACAATTGCTAGTCTGATTTGGCCTTAAAAGACGGCTGGAGCCGAAACGAGCGGCGTCAAGTGTCCGCGGCGCGAGAGAGCAAATGCCCACAAACGAGAATCGCACGGTTGAAGCGATATTTCTGTTCGTCGAGTTCGTCGAAAAGGGAGAGGAGAAAAAAATGCTAGATGGCCGGTACAAATGTACAATACGGCACACGTAGGCTCGTGATTCGCCGATCCCTACGTCCGTCGCCGAACGTTGCGCGGATTTTGCATACACACAATGGCCGCATCGGTGTGGATTAAATCCTCTGTACCGGGGCGAAAATCGATCGCTGTTTCTCCGCGCCGCACCGCGCCGGCCGGCAACACGTTGCACGTACGTTGCACTATGCAACGCGCGTACTAACTGCGTGGCACCCGTATGCCTGTTCGCCGTCTTCTCGCACACCATCGATCTCTCGTCTACGCAACGCGTGTCTGTGCAGTTGTCTGGAAGTAATTAATCTATCGCGGTCGCGAAATAATATATCGCGACCATACTACGCTGATCTTTTACTTGTTCAAATCTCAGAGATCGCCAAGCAAGAGCCGCGTCTCACCCCTCAAACTCCGATCGCTCGTAGCGAACGACAGATCAATGATTTCGTGAATGTCGCGTTGAAATCGCCCACAAAGTGGTTTACTTGCCGGAAAAATCTTTTAAATCTGACACGCATGATTATATTCTGAATGTTGTTACGGCACTTTCAAACGTGGTCTTACTGAATATAAGCTATAACAATACGTATAACGTTCGGCGCGTGTAATTTATTCCGACTAGTAACAAATGTCCGGTAGTGATCCTGAACGCTATATAATTTAACTGTCGTGTACTGGGGACCATAACGTACGATCATAAATCTATCATGCAGGCAGAGCGCGGGACCCCTGGCTCTTTTATTTATCTTCGCGCGCGGACAGTGCCAGTCTCTCCCCCAATCTGTAATTGTGGATCCAGGTATCTCCTTTGGTCTCGCGCCGCCGCGGTGTGTCCTATGGCTTCCAAGTTTCACGACTGTCGAAAAGCGTGGCGTATATCCAGGAAGTTTGCACGAGAAATTCCTACTCGCTTCGATAACTACTAACTTGGCGAATCTTCGTCTGGATGTATATTTATAACTTTGCGTGGAAACGCGCGATTTTTTACGCGCAGATTCGCGTATAATTACAACAGACTAGGTGTAACACTGATCAATACTGACCACATAATTTGAGTATGATTGGTCATTTCTTACGTGTCTGACTTGACCAATTATGCGGGGTCTACAGTGCGAGTCTCAGAGTCGCAGTCGTCACATTCAGCCAGACACATAAGAATTGACCAATCATAGTTGATTAATTTTACGACTGCGACTCTGAGATTTGCATTGTAGACCCCGAGTTACAATCGGAAGTCGGGCTGAAAGAACGCTGTTGCTAAATGACAAAAATTTTTAACATGTAGTTGCGATTACGTGGTCAGTATTGATCAGTGTTACACGTAGTCTGTTGTAATTATACGCGAATCTGCGCGTAAAAACACGCGTTTCTACGCAAAGTTCGCGGTCAATGCGCGCGCAAAAGCAGCTATCGATTCCGAGAGACGCGTCTCGTCGGAGGATGAATCGCTCGGTTTTCCGGTTGCGAGAGGTGAAAAAAAATATGGTCTCCAAAAATATCGTCGGCTCGTTTGGTTGTCCGATGAGAAATCAGGGGAGTTTCAGCTAATGCAGCAAAGCTTTACGACGGTAGGTAACCGCGCCTTTTCAACGCGATCATTAGGCGGTATCTCCGAATGCGGTTCGATGTCAATCTTTATCAGCAGAAGAGAGCCGGGACGAGAGAAAGCCGCGCGTTGCAGCCTAAAAAAAGACTGCACGTTTACGCCAGTCGTCTTGGTTGCCGGTCGTGAAACCTCCCCGAGGGGTAAACACGACCGCTTTTACGACCTACTCTCGAGATTGGCTTCCTCCCCGAGAGAGCTAAACGTCTCCTTCTCCTTTCTCTTACTTCTTCTCCGCGCGCCGAACGACGACAGCTGCAGCCGCGCCGCTTTATAACGTTTACACAAGCGGTCCGATTTTTCGACCACGTTTGCCCGATGCTGAGTGCCTGCGCACGTCCGACGTCTACTACACGACGACACGGCACGTACAACCGTCAGCGGGTAGTAGAGCAGTTGATGTAACGTGATGGATTTCAAAAGAGGTGCAGAAGTGACCCGGAATACCGAGACAGGGGATCTGTCTAACTGAGAGCTTCGTTTTACGATTACGAGCTGGTCGAGAAAATCGCGTTTAGGTGGCAGTTAAACAAAACTGCAATAACGTTTCGTAAATATGTCCAAGTGAAATCAATAATTGGAAAATCAATACTGGCTTTCAGGCTTTCGCGGTTGTTGACATCAATTAGAAAATCTATCATTTTTATATCACGACTAGTGGTAACTCGATTTATCCGGCGACTATAGTTTTCCTTAATTGTGAGCGCGGAACGTATGTATTACTTATTTGATTTTTGCGAATGTAACCGATTGATCTCTTATGCGATTAATTGGTAATGCAGGAGAAGGCCTGATGACAGGCAGAAACGTTTATTCGTTAGGTCATTTGTAACAGAAAATATAAAGGTTAGCATGCAACACTTGCTTCGGCTCTTTCCGTCTTATATTTTTTATTAATAATTAGCCAATAATTGAATGAAAGCGAAATACTATTCCATTACTAAATACTATTACTATTTATTATATCTTGTATTCGTGACTAATCTTAAAAGTATCTTGGAAATTGAAGTACAAGTAAAGTGAAAATACCACTTTAACCGTAATTTTGTTACACATCTGGAATTAATAGGCAAAAAGATCGCTGAAAGATTTATCAAGTAGTTTGAACACAGTACTATCGAGAGGTTTCTAATTTCCTTAATAACTCCAAGGGCACATCATGAGATAATGATAAAATGTCTTTCTCTCGTGCGACTCTCCTTCCGCTGAATCGAAAGCGACGAGAGAATAACTCGTCTCGGCGCGGACGCAAGGGGTTGTTTCCTCACAGCCGGCTGGGGTAGTTTCGCGAGCACGAGTCCCTCTCATCGGAGCACTTCTTGATTATTATTCGTGGTATACGGGGTCCCTCTTCCAGACATCATAGGTCTAGAAGGGAGAAAGTTCGCGTCGGTACCAGCGGAACTTGGCTCGTTATGCTACGGAATCTTTCTTCCGATGTGTACACGTGACCCCGGGTAACGACAATCTTTAAATCGAAAGGCTGCCGTTAAAAAGTTTTCGCATTTCCATAAAATTATCCATAGTAAGTTTAAATCAGATAAAATGACAATTCGACTAAAGTGCATCCGCGCTTAGAATCTTAATAACAGCCGATATTTCGAATAAAGCATCTGATATCAAATTGATCCAATATTGATATATTTACATGATATTTGTATAGCCTGTAGTATCTTAAATATCGATTTTTAATTTGGTGACTAACAATCGGCTCATATGCGAGATTCACCGATATACAGGGTGTATCAGTGAACCATGCCATCTCTAAATCACTTAACCGAACTTTGGATGAAAGTGTTAAGGAAGGATAACATATTTACTCAAGCTTTCTTAGTCGACATTAATCGGCCAATGTTTTAATACAGAAAATTTATTGCGCATAATAACATTTTTAATTGGTGCTACTGATAATAGGTAATTGTGAGCGTTGAAGGAGTTTTATTAGGCCTTAAAATAAAAAAAATTTAATTTTTAATGTGAGCATGCGCAGAATTTTCTTTGGTAACTTTTGGTAACACCATTCTTTGACTTTTCAACTGTTACTAATTTGTGTTCAGATTTTATAATTTTCTGATAAACGTTTCAAAAGTTATGATGATTTAATTGTCACACTCTAATGGTTAAGAACTTGTGAAATTTTTCGTCAAAAAGAAAATAATAAGGTGAACCGATTTATGATAAATGGCCAAATCAAAATTTCATCCTTCCTTAACGCTTTCATCCAAGGTTCATAAGAATCGGTCAAGTGGTTTAGAAATGGCGGCTTTCCAAAAGTACTCATCGCTCACTGATACACCCTGTACAATACGACCTTAGGTGAATTTTTTTTACCATACAAATATGTACTGACAAACGGAATAATAACAGGGACATTCACATATCGAGCCTTTCTAATTTCCCAAAAGGCTCTCGCGCTTCTCTCCCCTCTGCAGTAGAAACTTCCTGTATCAATTAGAATGATTCCCGGCGCGGATATATGTAATGCACGCGAATGCATAATTCATTGCGTGCACGTAGAATGCGCACTCTATCACGCGGCTCGCGGCCACGTTGAGCCACGCGGACATGAATTATGCGTGGGCCATCATTCACGACGCAACTCGCGCGCGCGCGCGCGCATGGAAAAGGGGGAAAAAAGAAGCTCGCCGCCCCCCGCGCGTTCGCGTATCTCGACCGATCCTTCAACACCCCCTTGCGTCGTTCGCGCGCGCGCGCGAATTGTGCACGTGGTAGGTTTCCACGGACGTGCCGTGAGTGTCACGGCCTTTACACGCGAGACGCTGTTGGGCGCAAATAATT